AGTACTGTGGGCAAAGCGTCGTGGCAAGAAACCCTGCTGGACCCCCTTACAAGGCAAATTAGTATCTGGTAGAGTGTTTTTCATAAATTCAGACTTTCATCTAAATGAACGCTTCCCCCCACCCCCCCACCCCGCACCCGATGACCGCACTAGGAAGAGATGTGGCAGCAAGTGACAGAAAGCAGCCTTGGCTGACAATGGCCCCAACAAGGAGCAATTAAAGACAGAGTGGTAACAGCTCCCCGCGGGAGATGACACACAACCTGGGAGGCACAGAGGCAGAGTCAAGAGAGTGACAAGCAGGTCTGAGCACCCCAACCGTGGGCCTGTAAAAGCTGCTGTTTGGACTTGCAGCTCATGCTTAGAAGGCCAGACAGTAAAACAGCTGGGGACAAGAGTCTCAGGGTTAAGACAGACTCTCTTGGAACAGCTACTCTTGTATGTCTCCCTAATCTTTGATACAGAGGCACACAGGAACAATACCAGGAGTAAGGCAAGCCATGACAACACGAACAATACAATGAAAACAGCTACCACCTATTGAGAGCCTACTATGTACCAGACACTTAATAAAAACTCGAATGTATATCATCCAAATTAAGGAAGTGAAATAGGTAGCATTAGCATCATTTTGCAAAAAAAGAAGCTCAGAGGTGATAGGTACTTGCCCAAGATCATATAGCCCCTTAAGGGCATAACCAGGACTTGAACCCAGATCTCTCTGACTGCATGGGGGCAAGGCCATCCTCCAGAGGTGGCAATTTCTAAGCTCTCCGGTAGCACATGCCTACCCACAAAGCAGAAACCTCTTAAGTCAGGCACATAAAACACACCCAGCTCTGGGCAGAGGCGCTAAGCCCTTCATACCTGGTCTCTCCTCTCTATCGGATCCCTACTCCTCCCCACTCCAAGGCAACTTGGAGGCCTCTGTGTGAACTCAGTATTAGAACTTCTACATACTTGCTCACCTTGTAGGTTTCCCAGCCTACAGTGCCTTCCTCTGGTCTCCAGCCTCTAATGGTGCCCCCTCACCAGGACCTATAGCCAAACCCATTCCAGGACCTCTCTGATGACTCTGGTTCTTACTGATGCCCACCCATTTGATAAACTTAGAATTCTTACACTGCCTGCTTATGATGAAGCTGTCTGCCTTACTGGCCAAACCACTAAGCCTGATTGGAAAAGGAGAGGCTGTTCTAATCTACAAGATGTGCTTTTTCATGTTAAACTCTTCCATGGTGCTCGAGGCATACAGCAGGTCCATGAGAGTGAATCTAAGGGGTAGAGACAGTCCCAGTTCACAGGAGTATTTTTCTCCCTCTTCCATCTTATCCCAGGACACCCTGTTCTCAGCTTTCTGAGAACGTTATGTCCACAAATTCTGCTGTAAATGCCACATTCCTATGCACTTCAGCAAGGGATCCGGAAGGAATGGGGGGAGGGTGTGTGCCCCGCAGTGTCCAGATGCCCTCTTAGTACTGTTTCTCCTGTCCAGGAAGAGAAGGTTTACCACGTGGCCTTTCCTTTCTCTTGTTTTTAAAGCACCTTTAATCCTCTATGTGTCTACACATAGGGCAATTTCAGTAAAAACCACCAGATCGGCTTATGGGACCATGATTTACAGGTCTGTGACCTGATGTCTGAGCACCTGATCCAGGTCAGTGGAGGATATCTGAAGTCAGGACACTGGGGGACATTCTCTGGAGTATCTAGGCCAGATGAAACAGAACGGTGGCAAAAAGCCAGTGTCAGGGGGCCTTGATGTGGAACAGTGTTGACAACAAATCCCAATAAAGCCTTTCAACTTTATACCTATGTGTGGAGCAGTTTACATACAACAAGCAAAAGACAAAGATTTGTTCCCCACCCCAAATTAATCCC